TTGGACATGAATTTTCCTCTTATTGTACTCATTGGTTTGTTTGGTTTCCCTCCCCACCCAGCAATGAAACCGGATCAGTTATGGCCATCTTTGCAGAGGCGTCACCTTCAAAACAACAAGTTTTCGCCTGCCTCCTCTTGTGTAGAGCAGAGCACCCAGTGGAGTGCCTGTTCCCAGAGCTGTGGGGCGGGGGTCTCCACACGGGTTTCTAACCAGAATCCTGCATGCAAACTGCAAATAGAAACTCGCCTGTGTAAGGTGCGACCTTGCCACACTTTCCAGCCGGCCCCAAGGAAGCCCATGGTGAGCGCTAACAAAACCCACATCCTGTAAATGTGTACATTTACACGTACTGTCAGGTTTTACCTTTGATTTCAGTTTCACGTATTGCTTCTTTCAAAACTGTAACGAGAAAGTTCACCGGGTCACACAAAGTATGCAGAGACATGTCATCATTTTTAACACAATATCACAAAAGGTAAAAAGACATTTTAAGGCAACTACGAAAACAATGATAAGAATCTGTCTAGTTAGACACCACAATGAAGCTGTGACAGAACAATTCTACTTTTTGTTTCGTTTCTCTCGTCTGCCTTTTGACACAGAACGATACTGAAACAGATTTCATCAATCAGATGGGGGAGGGGTTCCTCTAAACCCAGACTACATTAAAAAATTTTAACCTTTCAGTGTTAAAAGTACTAAAAGGGACTTTATAAAGTAGTTCCCACTAGTCACTGAAAAACTGTGGGTCCCACTTTCGTGCAGCAGAGTGGAGTCGGCCTTCCTCTAAATCTGCAGTCAATGTTTATACTCGTTAACTAAGTGAACTACAACCTCTCACTGACCTTTTTTTTTAACCACTGTTTTTACCATCAATTATTTTTAGAGGCTTTGAGGCTCTAGAGATTTTTTAGAGGTTTTGTAGGCCTATGTTACTGATGTGCAGATAAAATATATTAAAAAATGCATATTGTCATGAAGTCTACCTAAACATCTTGAATCTTTAGCCTTACTGAATCATTACACTGATTACCTGCTTTTTCTTCTTCTCACTGTTGTTTCAGTGGGGACAGAAAGGAAATTGCAAGTCCAGCTACACGTCACCGGGACCCATTCGGCTAGTTCACCAGGGCTGCTACAGCACTCATGCCTACCGAGTCCGTTACTGTGGTCAGTGCACTGACTCGCGATGCTGCACACCTTACCAAACCAGCACTGCTGAGGTGACCTTCCGATGTCCCACTGGCAGACTGCTGCAACGAGCTGTAATGATGATCCAGTCATGCGCCTGTCATAATAACTGCCCCTATGCACCTTTTACAAATCCTGCTCTGTGGGGATACAGACCCTGATCAGTGTGTAAGAGCACGGACTCACTAAAACTATAGACTTCAGTGAATGTTTCAATGGCTTCACAATAAAAGTATCCCCAGGTGGATTGACGTAAACAACGAATGGACACTGAAAGAGAATATTATTATTTTAGAAAACTGTGATTTTGGATGAATATGTCTGCACTTATTTACAGCTCACAACTTCTGGAAAGCATCATTCTGCCAGTTTGTGACTTCATCTGAGAGTCAATAGAAAACAAGTAGACGTGTTTTACAAGAAAGGGAGAAAAGAAACATAAATGTAGGAGAGCTAGGGACTGTAATATACATGTATAACTCACAAAGTAAGTTCTAGAAATACTTTTACAAATAACTTTCAGATGTGCACTGATTTGGTTTCTTTTTTCCTCCCAGAATTGTTCAGTACAGTGATTCCCAATAATGTTTCGCCTTGGATATCAAAAGCAATATTTTAAAAACACTGAAAACATCTTGACTGTTCCCAAATCTTTAGGCTAAAGTTAAACACTACGTAGATATACTATAATTCAGTTTTGGGAAAATGGATCAAATTAAACTCATCCAATATTGTTGAAATCTGGCCTGTAAAAAGAGAAGCATGTCACCTAAAATCTATATTATAACTTAAAGACAGTTGACCATGATGTCAACTGGTCATGAACATACTTTTAAAGACTGATTTTTTTATTTCTAACTTGTAACTTGTGTCTATAAATTCAACTTTCAGTGATGTAGAAATATGTATTTGTTAAAGACATAACCCACAGAACGATTACAACTTTTGTAATGACAATTTCTAGATATTCTCTGACGTGAGCAATGCAGCTTTTAACTTTTGAACTTTGTGTGTGTGTGTGTGTGTGTGTGTGTGTGGCATAATGGGATTACATTGCACTTTCATTTATTATTCTGATGTAAATAACTGTAAAGAGGTGTCTCGTGTACAGTGATTTTTTTAAAGTATGCCCTGTATTTTTACTCCCACTGGATTTTGTGCTTTTTGTGGTTATTATGTTTGTATAAATAGTTACATTGTTCAAACTGTAGCTTTTAATTATGTCACTTCATCTGTCATGACTTTCTGCTGCTGCTGAGCTGTTAAAACTTGCTTGTAGCACACTGTTAACACCAATATACACACTAAAATCAACAAGAAAATCCTTTTGCAGCTTTGTGGATAAATTTAACTTTTAATAACTCTTTTTATGATACTGGCTTAATGTGTTATATTTCTTTATTGTTCCTTTAAGGGTTTTTTTCAGTCTCACTTAAAAATACCTAGTATGCTTAGAAAGCTACAGTGGTGGATATAAGGATGTTGTGGGTTCATGAGCAGCTGAATATAAAGATACATTCTGAAATGAAAAAAGTGAACGTGATCTCTATTAAAAGTCCAATTAAATTGTAGCATCCCTCCGACAGAAGACAGACACGATCGGTGTTCCGGTTACCGGTGTTTATTAAGAATAGTAACAAAGGCTACTGTGGGCCGTAGCCAACAACAAAACGACAGGGAAAAATGCAGTCTCCAGAACCAAAACAACTCCCCCTGACTCTCGCTCCTTTTTTCCGCACACACACACAACAACATTCTCTAACACCCGTCCCCCAAACACTCTCAGCCAACCACACACATGCTCTCCTCCAGACTCTCTGTCATTGGTAGCTGATCTGATTGACTGGCCAACCGGCCTCTAGACTACTACACATTCAAGGACACTAGTAAATCACCATGCTGCCGGTGTGGTCCAACTATGCCATAAGTGAGTGGTAATTCTGAATACAAAACACTGATAACACAACAGTCAACTAACTTGTAACCAGGTCCATTACACTACCCTGTCCCCTCAAAGTACCTCGCCCACGAGGGCGGATAAAGTCTCTCAGATGGCCTGGTGGTCTATGGTGCATCCTTGGGCGAAGTCGCCCGGAGGGTGGTGGGGAAGGGGCCACGTCCGAAGTGGCTGAGGGCCCAGGGCTTACTGTGGGGGGGG